TGTCCTACCAGCAGAACCTTCTACTGCTTCCAGTTCTGAAGTTCAGATCTGACCTGTTCCTTGCCTTGCTTTAAAATCTCTGAAGAGGATCAAGTACAAATCTATTAGCATGGCTCCTCATGTCTGGACCTCCACTTCCTGCTCACACGCCCATCTAGGCATCTCTTTCATCCCCACCGCAGGCACCCTCTACTCCCAGATCTTGGAGGGAGGTCTTGACAGCAGACACAGAAAGAACTCTTTCACACTTTGGAACAAAATCTATGGGCTTTTTACCAAGTCTCTTTGCTATTATTGAATTAAGTAATGGTTAGAACCATTATACAAAAACTTAAAAGCAAATAACACTTTTTAACGTGATGCTTTTAAAGAACCACTTTTTAAGGAGCAGCTTCCAGATGCATTCCTCATCCCCTAGCAAACCAGGTATCCTCCTACCTCTCTACTCAATTGAACAGCTACTCTCTCCTGGGGTGGGGGTGGGGTGGGGGTGGGGTGGGGGTGGAGGTGGGGGGGGGCTGCCTGAGTCACCATTGGCCTGGTCACCATTGACAGGGGGCTCAAGAGCAGGGCCCACTTCTGCTTGGGGGGGGGGGGTGGCATTATGTCATATTTAGATGTCTCATTTTTTAACCCTTAACCTTAGAGCCTTCTGCTGATGTTCCATAATGAAAAGTTTGATTTGAAAATGGGGATTAGAGATGAAGAGAGAAATTTGGAATATATGTGTATGTAATTATGTGTACACAATCCCCACTCTAATGCCTTAAATCAGAAAGAGCAGAAATAGTCATTGATAATTTCAGGACATATGTCACATCTCTTCATTTCCTAATCAATCTTCTGCTGTACACCATGAAAAGACCTAGATAACACCTTAGCCTTGAGCTGCCAATGGGTTCATCCAACTGCAGAACGGGACACTGGGCCCTAGCTGGTTTGGCTCAGTGGATAGAGTGTCAACCTGTGGACTGAAGAGTCACAGGTTCAATTCTGGTCAGGGCACATGCCTGGGTTTCGGGCTTGATCCCCCGTAGGAGGTGTGCAGGAGGCAGCCGACCAATGATTCTCTCTCATCATTGATGTTTTTATCTCTCTCCTCCCTTCCTCTCTGAAATCAACAAAACTATAATAATTTTTTTAAAAAAAGAAGAATGGGACCCTGGAACTGCTTTGAACTGGACCATCTATCCTTATGAGGGAACCTGTTCTCTCTACCAACAGGAAGGGGGGCAGTTTGAAAAGAGAAGAAAAGATGAGGACAAGAGGAATTATTCCACGTTGAGCACTCCCTGTAGAGGGCTGGATACCTACAGCTCTGCCATTCACTCAACACACTTGTTGAGCTCCTGTGATGACTCAGTCACTGGGAAGGGTATAGTGGCTGGTAGAGAGACCAACAGTCCCTGCAGGTCAGTTACCCTAGCCATGCTCCTAAGTGTCTAGTTGTATTAAACAGGCAAACTAGGAAATTCCCTTACCCAGGCTGCCTCCTGAGTCAGGCATCTTACCCAGCAGAGATGCACTGAACACTGCTATGCGCCAGCATTTTTCTGAGTCGGGTACAGTAACGCACAAGATAGACAAATATGCTGGTCCTCGTGGGGCATACATTTCAGTGTGTGTAGAGGTTTGGGGGGTGGGGGTCAGAAACAGAAAAATAAATAAGTAAAAGACACGGAAATTCCAAGGTATGGATAAAGCAAGGAGCCGGGGAGTGTGAGGGGAACGGAGTAATGTTTTTAAATAGGGTTGTTGGCCTCCCTGAGAAGAAAAGACATTTGAAGAAATATGTGCAGGAAGTCAGAGAACAAGGATACCCCCCCCCCACCCCCGCTCATTTGTGCAGTTTTTGCTGCAAATATCTGAGCTACATTTCCAAAAGAAAAATGGCGTGTTCTCTCTACCAACAGGAAACGGGGCAGTATGAAAAGAGAAGAAAAGACCGGGACAAGCGAAATTATTCCATGTTGAACACTCCCTGATGGACACTTGAAAACCAGCTCTGAGAGCAGAGCTGGGCCCACCAGGCAGAGGGGTTCCCGGGGCCCCTCTCCCGGGCTGTCAGACTAATCCTGCCGCCTACCCCCCACCCCTCTCTAGAGGGCTTTGCTCTGGCGACTGTAATTCAAACCTCGCCCAAAACCGCCGGGGAGGAGCTTTGTACAGGACACCAGTTCAGCCTCCCTAGGGTACCCCGGGACCCCACCCCCGCCCCCCCCCCCTGCCCCGACGCAGAGAGCAGCGCCAAAAACCGGGCGGGGGGCAGCAGAACCCAGGCGCTGGACACCCGGCCGGCTGAGCTCTCTCCTCTCGCAGGGCGGCGCCCAATCCCGCGACCTGCAGAGCCGGCCTTCTCGGCGGGCACAGAACTAAATCCTGAAATCGCCAGATGCCGGGGCGCACCCTGCAGCCCGGGACCGGCGAGCCGGGAGCCCCCCTGGAGCCGCAGCCGGGCTTGGAACCCGCGGATTGGGCGGGTCCGTTCCAGCCTCCGGCCTCACTCCCCACAGCCCTCTCGCAGGCGCCGTTCCGCCGGGCCCGGGTCTCTCCCGCGCCGAGTCGCCCAACAAACCATTTAAACATTTCAGCCCAAAACCGATCCATTGTGGGCCGCACATTTAAAAGTGTTATTCGCTTTGAAGTTTTTGTCTAATGGCTCTAAACTGAAAGAAAATGTTTTCCTATTACTTAATTCAATCATAGCGGAGAAACTTGGTAAAAAGCCCACGGATTTTGCCCCAAAGTGTGACAGAGTTCTCTTTGTGTGCGCTTATCCTCCGCTGTCACACACTTTAATTCGCTTCTCTTTATCTGGCATTCAAAACTTTCTTCAATGACATTCAATAAGGTCCTGAGGCTGGAGGGGAAAAAAAAAAAAAACCTGGTTATTCCGTCCCCCCCCCCCCCCACACACACACACACACATATTCTTTGGCCTTGCTCGCTTTCAGGGGCTCTTAACCCTTTCTTCCCCGGGCGCGGGCGGCGGCTCCCAGGAGAACTGGGCTCCTGACTCGGGGTGCAGCGGTGGTCCCTTTCAGTCCTCGGGGGCCGCCCGCACCCCGCGCCTCTTCAATCCGCCTCTGCCCAGCCCGGAGGCCTCTCCCAGCCGGTCCACGCTCCCGGCTCTCTCAGGCTCAGTGGCCCAGACACGCCCAAATTTCCCCGAGAGCAATTAAAACCAGCACGAGGCTTCGCGGGTGCACTCGGTCTGGTTTACAAGCGCCACCCTGAAGCGTGGAGCAGACAATGGCGCTGGGGGCAACAGTGACCTCCGCGCCCCCGCCCCCTCCAAAGAGAAGCTTTGCTCCCTTACTCATCCCGCTGGGTGACAGGTTATTTTCCCCACTGCCCTTCTCCCTTTCTAGAATCAGTTCTTTTCTCACAAACCCACTGCTTTTTAATCAGTTCTAATTTGTTGCTGTGGTTATTGAAAGATGTCATCGGTGATGAGAATCCATGTGCACGCCTTGGTTCGGGGCTGTCCCCTTCCCTTGCGCGGATTCCCTCTCCGTTTCTCACAATTCTGTTCAGGGAGCAGGTGACTGCAGCGACTTGGTTCCAATAAAATCGAAAGTAAACGTCTTCCGTGGAAAGCCCCGGCTGTAAATTCGAAATATTTATGCTAATTTCCCATTGTATGGAAAAGGCTCTTGCTCAAAGCTTTGAGCCCGCTGATGATTTAAAAAGCGAAAGCTGTGTACACAGCGCTAAGCGTTTGAAGTTGTTTAACCATTGTGTGGCCAGAAATAAGAGTGACAAGGCAGGAGAAAGTCTGGGGGAGAGCGGAGCTCGGTGGGGGTGGACCAGGGCAACAGAAGCTGAAACTACAACTGCCTCTTGCGCCGCTCCTGCCAGCGCATCCAGGAGTCTATGGAGTGTGCATGAGTGGAGAGGGCGCCAGCCGAAAGTCCACACTGGCGCGAGAGGGGGCGGGGGGGGGGGGGCTACAAGATCTCCTTTCGCGGTCTAGGCTCTTATTTCCCATCCCTTGTCTCTGGCCAGTGACTCTCAGCGGCTGATTTCCTCTTTACATCCACGGCCCTGGCCCTGACGAAAGTGCTGGTGGACAAGCATCTACCGAACAAAGACTGGGCGTTATAGACAGCATCAAACTTAGAGAAAAGTGAGACCGTGATGGGGCTAGTCCTAGGGAAGGAATACCGAGTCCTTTTCCTTTTGCCCAGCGGCCCCTGCAAGGAGCCCGGGTCCTCCTGCTTCCAGACTCAGGGAGAAGGAAAGAGATTCCACAGGTGGAAATCGGAGGCCGGCTGTAGGGATGCCTACAGGGTTCACAGCGCTGACCTGAGCGCACTGAGTGGAGGCAGGATGATTTTGGGGGTCCGGGTGAGATGTGAGAAGGAAGGGGATGGAGATCAAGTGCGCACAGAAGATAGGGGTGCGCGCCCATGGAGATCTGTGGAAGCAAGGCAGCTGGGGGAAGGCGTGCAAAACCCATAAGATAAACGGGCCGATCGCCAATACAAAGCCAAAGGGGAGTAAGGAATAAAGAGAGGAAAAAGAATATTAAATCGCAGGAGAATGAGAAAATAAACCTGCAAAAGGGAGAGGAGGGGGCGAGGGCGCCTGTTGCGGCGTGGGTGGGGTTGACAAGAATAGAGTACATTATGCAGTTCATTTAGTTAACAAGTGAAATAATGAGGAAGCGTGCAGAGTGAATGCCAAGAGAAAAGGCACAAAAACCCTATTGAGAGGCCCGGGCCGCTCCTGGCGTAGCCCATCACATGGCAATAGTCCTATTTAAGCAGCGCCGCCGGCGCCTTTCAGCACCACTAGCTCTGGCCAGCACCCCGCGCTCTTTGGGCGGCGCCCACTGCTGCGGCGGAGGCGGCTTCAGCCTCGGCTTCAGAGGCGCCTTCAGCCTCCCGGGAAGAGGCAGGTGCACGCTGCCGTCGCTCGTGGAAGCGCGTGGAGAGCCCCAAGGTGAGCAGGGCGCAGAGAGCGAGCTGGTGGCGGGGAGACAGCGCACGGGGGCCATGCCGCGCTCCTTTCTGGTGGACTCGCTAGTACTGCGCGAGGCGGCTGAGAAGAAGGCGCCCGAGGGCAGCCCGCCGCCGCTCTTTCCCTATGCGGTGCCTCCGCCTCACGCCCTGCACGGCTTCTCGTCCGGCGCCTGCCACGCGCGCAAGGCCGGGCTGCTGTGCGTGTGCCCGCTCTGCGTCACCGCCTCGCAGCTGCACGGGCCCCCCGGGCCGCCCACGCTGCCTCTGCTCAAGGCGTCCTTCCCGCCTTTCGGCTCGCAGTACTGCCACGCACCCCTGGGCCGCCAGCACTCAGCCGTGTCGCCCGGGGTTGCTCACGGCTCGGCCGCCGCCGCTGCCGCCGCCGCCGCGCTCTACCAGACCTCCTATCCGCTGCCCGACCCCCGGCAGTTCCACTGCATCTCCGTGGGTAAGCCAGGCCGCCGCGCGGGGCACAGAGCATAGGTGGCCGCATGAAAGTTGACGAGTCAGAGATGGAGAATGCTGAAACCTAGGCATTATGGGGCGATGAGAGTCGTGTCGGGGCCCTGTGGGGGACACGCAGGGTGGTGTTGGGATGGAGGACTAGAACAGGAAGCCCGAGGGAGGGTGAGAGCAGAAGGCCCGGGTCTTGGAGGGGGAGCCCAGGAAGGAGTGAGGACTGAGGCTCAGGGCACTCCATAAAGGAGAACCAGGGCCGTGAGACTGGGGGGGGGGGGGGGTGCGCTCCCATGGCTTGACAAGGAGGGGTCCGCCGTCATGCTGCTGTGCGTTGCGTTAGGGGCAAAGCGGTGGGTAATAGACCAAAGTCCTGGGATCCTAAAGTCTGCCTAACAAGCTCGGGCTCACAGCGCACGGTCTGATCGCTTCCCTCTCTCACCCCCACTCCCCCAGACAGCAGCTCAAACCAGCTGCCCAGCAGCAAGAGGATGCGCACCGCCTTCACCAGCACGCAGCTGCTGGAGCTGGAGCGCGAGTTCGCCTCTAACATGTACCTGTCCCGCCTGCGCCGCATCGAGATCGCGACCTACCTGAATCTGTCTGAGAAGCAGGTGAAGATCTGGTTTCAGAATCGCAGGGTGAAGCACAAGAAGGAGGGCAAAGGCAGCAACCACCGTGGCGGTGGCGGGAACGCCGGTGCCGGCGGGGGCGCACCGCAAGGTTGCAAGTGCGCGTCACTGTCCTCAGCCAAGTGCTCGGAGGATGACGAAGAATTGCCCATGTCTCCGTCTTCTTCGGGGAAAGACGACCGGGATCTCACGGTCACTCCCTAGACGTGTGACTCCCCAGGTCTCCTACCCCAGGCCCTTCGTAAGCCTCAAAGACGGATCCTCGGACGCCGCGGCCAAATGGCGACCGCGCACGGATTTGGCAACGCTTTGCAGAGGCCTCCGGCCCTGAGAGCTTGGCAGAGACACTGGTATCCCCATCCCAGGGCCCGTGGCAATTCACAATGGACTCCAAGCAGTGAACACTGCAAGAGCCCGAGTCCTTCTCAGCCACGCGGCATAGCGGCCTCCGCAGGCACGCAGCCCGCCCAGCGCCTTGCTGGCCTTCAGCACCTCCTCGCCTGCCCTCTCTGAATTGGTTCAGGGCTCCTCGCTTCCTCTACTCTCCCCCAACCTGGGTCAAGCCCAGCCTTTCACCCCTAGGATGTCTGTTCCTTTCCTTTCCTTCCTTCCTTCCTTCCTTCCTTCCTTCCTTCCTTCCTTCCTTCCTCCCTCCCTCCCTCCCTCCCTCCCTCCCTCTCTTTTTTTCTTTCTTTCTTTCTTTCTTTCTTTCTTTCTTTCTTCTTTCTTTCTTTCTCTCTCTCTTTCTTTCTTTCTCTCTCTCTTTCTTTCTTTCTCTCTCCCCACCTCCTTCCTGTGGTCATTTATCCAAACCCACACACACTTATGAATCCCTGTTTTTTCCTTTTCCTTTCTCTGCCCCTCCTCGAGGGGCCTCGGAGCCTCCAAGTCCAGCCAGCCCACTTCTCCTTCAGCCAGCCCTGCTGTCCCCCAGCTCCTCTTCCAGAAGAGAAATGTCGCCCTCGATATTCAGGTCGGGGAAAACCGAATTAATTTTGTTGGGGTGGGGGTGGGGGGCTCTGCCTTCCCCCAGAGGCTCTAGCTCTCCTCCTGTGAAATCCCTTCTCTTACCCCAGACCCCACCCCACCCGCCCAGGCCTGGCTGTGTGACTGTGCGGTCTCTGTAACACCAGAAGATATTTATTTATTTATTTCTGTAAGAAATTTAAAATAAACTTTTTTTTTCTTAGAAATCCACGAGGCTCCGGATCCCGAGGCCTCCACGGTGGACTGGACGGGCTCTGGCTTGGGTTCGGGTTTCCCACTGGGGCGAGGCAGGGAGGGGGCGGCAGGTGCGCGCTCTGCTCTGCATCTCTACCGCTCAGCCCGGCAGACACTCCGCTGGGCTGGCCGCGTGTGCTCCCTGGTCTCCATCCAGCTCGGGCGGGTCTGGCTCACAGGCACCTCGAGGGCAGAGAGCTGAGCTTCCAGGGAAGGAGCGGTCCTCCCCGCGTTGTGCCTCAGACCTTAACACCTGTAACCCACTCCGCCTACGACCCCGGTCCTCACCCCGAGCCCTCACCCCCAGCCCTCTGGGTTTGGCTGTCCCGACCTCCATCCCCAGGGCAGAGATCATCCCGCAGCCGCTCCGGAACCCTGCCCCTCGCAGTGCTCCGACTGCTAACGATTTGTTAGAGACAGGTTCCCTGCGGGCTGGCGCGGCCTGCTCTCTGGAAGGCCCCTCGCTTTGCTTTGAGGCAAATTCCTTTCGCGCACCTAGCGGGGGCGCGATTCCTCGAACTCACAGCGATCCTGCGCCTGAATCCCCCAGAAGGGCCCTGTGAGCCGGAGCCTGGCTGGGAACCTCCTGTTCTCACAGATTCCTGTCACCATCCCACAGTCCCCTGCAGCTTAGAATCATCCCCTCGCCCTCCTTGCGCAGAGATGTGCGGGTTTTTACGCGTCACTGGGACTAGTAGAAACAGGAGGTGCGAGGTTGGGGGTGCTCCTGAGACAGGAAGCGCTCGGCCTCCCGGGGGAGGTATTTTTGCCGCTGGGTCATTGAATGTGGAAAGCAGCGCGTCTGTGTTCTCACGTTGCCCCAGGACTCCCATTCCGAGTCCTGGAGGCTGGGAGCTGCTTTTCCTACCAGAAACCCCACCCACGCCCACACACGCCCCGGGGAGCGCGGACTCGGCCTCTTTCTCAGGAGAGAGGAGCTCTAGTTGGGGTTTGCTCAACACAAGATGGGTTTCTTTCTAAAACCTTCGGTCTCCTTCACATCAAGCTAAGTGCGGGGCGCTCTTCCCAGTTCCCGGGAATAAAAGTAGGAACCGCCCGGCTCCCCACTGAGAGGTCCCGCCAGGTTCTTCCTAGAGCGAGACGTCTGGGCTGCGCCCCAAACAGATGAGAATCAGTCCCGCCTCCCAGTCGGTACTGTCCCCTCATCCCCATCAGTCTGAACCCCAGTCTCGCCGCGGACCAGTAATCCGCCCTCCCGGGACGGGTTATGCCAACCCCAGGGAAGCCCAGGTGCTTGAAGGCATAGAACCCCAACCAATTTTTATCCGTGACTCTGACCCTCCCTCAGTGTTGTGGCGCTGGCACGCTGCCCCGCCAGCCAGCCCTTCGGTGAGTGGCGACGTGAAGTCTCGCATCCTTCAGCTTCAGCGCCACCCACCAATCTGCCTTCGACCGGCGGCGGGCAGCAAGGCTCCCAGGGACCGAGGGCTCGTTCTGAGCCCGCTCCTTCCCTGGATTAGGAGGGGGGTGGCCACAGGCCCCTGGGGCGGGCCTCTCCCGCTGCACGCTGCCGCTGCCGCTGCCGGTGCGGGGACAGACCAGAAAGGCAGTTGGGAGATGGGCCTGCGGGGAAGCTGGGGTGGGGTGTGTCGAGGATGAAGAGATGAAAACGGAACGTGGAGAGATGTGAAGAGGCTGAACCTCCACCGAAAGCGTCCCCCCTCCCAATTCTTCAGTTTTGCCACCCTATGCAGACACCTGCTCCCAGAAGAAGCGGCAGATCCACGGCTGCGCGCCGTCCATGCGGGTCCAGTTCTCCCAGGAGCGTGCCTCTCGAACTCAGCTTTCTCTACCCAAGTTTTCATCTCCCCATCCCGCTCCCAGACCAGCCTTTTCGCTCCTGGTGGGCTGCCCGGCAAAGTGGGAGAAAACGCAGCCTCCAGCGGTTAACAAGGAGGTGACCGGAGCGCGGCAGTGGGAGCCGAGTGGCTGCTGCGTGCAGGGCTCTCGGCATCCAGCCTTAGCCGGAGCGGCAGTGACGGGCATTTGAGTCCCAACACGCTTTGGTTCAAACACTCCTCCCCCTGCCCTCTCTCTCTTTGGGCCTTGGGCCACACGGTGCTCCTCCGCTGCCTCGGTCGGTAGGAAGGCAAGGGCGAGCCTGAGCCTGATTTAATAAGCTACGGGAAATGGAGTTTCTCACGTAGGGAGATGCCAGTCTTTAAGCCCCGACTCTTTTGAGCTGGAATTTGGGACTTGCAAGGAAAATTGTGAAATTAAAATCAAACTGGGCTATCAGGATTAAATTTCCTGGAAATTATCATTGAGCATCACGAATCCACCCAGAGGGTTTATTCCAGGGACAGCTCTTTCTTTTCTCCGTGCAGCATAGTGGCCAGGTTCGGACCCTCGCATCGAAGTGGCTTTTCAGTCCATTTCCACCAGTTACTTACAAGCTTGGGAACCTTGGGCAAGCCGCTGGGCCTTCCTGGGCCTTGGCTTCCCCGTCCGCAAATGGGGGTTGTGTTAATGGTTGTTTTGCAGGGTGGTTGTGCAATATTATAGGATAGATTTCACATAAAATGCTAAGCACAATGCCTGCCAAGTTTCAATAAATGTTAACCAATGTAGTTGTTGCTTTTGTTACATGCCTATTCCTGTGCCTGGGGCATAGTTGGTGCTGCATTATGTACTGAATGCTGAAAAGTGATTACTCACACACAGGCTTAGAGCAGCATCTACCACAGAGAGGATAGAGAATACACACAAGTGCCAACATCTTCAGGACCCGCTGGCATTAGTCACTCAGAGGGTCAGAAATGGCTCCTCTGCTAAGCACTGCTCAGGTGCTGGGAACCACTGAAGTCCAAACATGGGTCCTCTTTCCATCTTCATTTAGACCAGTTCCTCAATCTCCACACTACTGCCATTTGGGGCCCAAAAGTTCTTCTCTGTGGGGGACTGACCTGTGCATTGCAGGGTGTTCAATAGTTTCCCTGGTCTCCATCCACTAGATGCAAGTATAACACCCCTCCCCCCAGTTGCGACAACCAAAAATGTCTCCAGACATTAAGGTCCCCTGAGGGGTGGGGGTGGGGGAATCACTTTAGGTTGAGAACTACTGATTTAGACCCATATATTTTCTGCTGAAGTTTGCTAGTCCACAGTGGCCAGGATTTGGTAGCCTGGCTCTTAGATCACTTTTCTACCTTTCCTTCAGTTATCCTTCACTGAGTACTTGTACCTTCTACATCCAGGATACTGGACTATGCACTGAGGTGTGGTATGAGAGGAGAAAGGAGAACAAGAAAGTGGGGACACTAGGAATAGCAAAGATGCCTGTGTAGTGCCAACATGCTGGTTAGTCTTTATAGCCTTGGGCATTTGGGTTGAAAGAGTAATCAGTTGGAGGCTTGCTGGGTGAGCAAAGTTTATACTAGGGCCTTTCTAAGCATATTTGTCTTGTGACCTGTAGACAATTGGGTTCCTTCTTTGAACATGTCCTTGGGCCCACAAGGCCACCTTTTGTGGGAAAAATATCAGGAGCTTGAGCTGTCATTCCCCACTAGCCCCCCCCCCTCTCTGAGAGAGAGAGAGAGAGAGAGAGAGAGAGGGAGAGAGAGACTACTAAGCACATCCTTATGGATTTTTGTCAATGCCTGAAAGTCTGAAACTAGAAATCAATTCTTTTTGCTTAAGGCCTCTTGTGTTTGGTTCAAACATAGGTATCCCTGGGAGTAGTAACCATTGAGCACATTATTCACATTTTCTGAGAGAAGACTTAAGTAGAAGATCCCTGAGGACTTAGGAATGTGGAAGAGATACAAGGGCAAGAAACGGAGCAGGGGGAGAGGGAGAGTTCTCAAGTCTCACTGGGATGAATCAGTGTTGCCTTGGGCCATTTGCTGGATCCTGAACTATGGGTGACTGAGTGTGCTCACTAGATTACTGCAGACTTACTAGAGTGCACTGCAGAATTAGACTCATCCCGAAAGTCAGGAATAAGCTGACCGCATGAGGCAATAACCTCATGAACCCAGGATTTTCCTAGTCTTGTATATGGAGCTTCTAATACTAACATACTGATAGAAGTGTGTGTGTGTGTGTGTGTGTGTGTGTGTGTGTGTGTGTGTGTATGTGTAGCAAAAGGAAGGGAAAGATTGGTGAGTCTAGGAGGAAAACCAGGTTATCCTGAAGTTAAGTGCTCTGCTTTAGATGATCTGTCACTATGAATCCAAGTCCTGGTTCTAGAAGGCTTCTTTGAAGCCATCAAAGAAATCTAAGATCTTCAACTTGACACCTCCCAGCCCTGCATCCAGGCATCTGTCAGTGGTTGGTATTTTCAGCTCAAGGGAGGAAGTTCCCTCAGGTGGTACATTGGGAGGCATGTGACTCAGCACCCATTCAGGTA